TGTGATTGGTTAGCTGGGCCAGTGTGTGCTGTGATTGGTTAGCTGGGCCAGTGTGTGCTGTGATTGGTTAGCTGGGCCAGTGTGTGCTGTGATTGGTTAGCTGGGCCAGTGTGTGCTGTGATTGGTTAGCTGGGCCAGTGTGTGCTGTGATTGGTTAGCTGGGCCAGTGTGTGCTGTGATTGGTTAGCTGGGCCAGTGTGTGCTGTGATTGGTTAGCTGGGCCAGTGTGTGCTGTGATTGGTTAGCTGGGCCAGTGTGTGCTGTGATTGGTTAGCTGGGCCAGTGTGTGCTGTGATTGGTTAGCTGGGCCAGTGTGTGCTGTGATTGGTTAGCTGGGCCAGTGTGTGTTGTGATTGGTTAGCTGGGCCAGTGTGTGCTGTGATCGGTTAGCTGGGCCAGTGTGTGTGTTGTGATTGGTTAGCTGGGCCAGTGTGTGCTGTGATCGGTTAGCTGGGCCAGTGTGTGTGTTGTGATTGGTTAGCTGGGCCAGTGTGTGTTGTGATTGGCAGCACTCGGCGCCTGGTCGGGAAATGTCGTGCCCCATACCATAACCACCTGCCAGCTTCAGTGTAAATATTGCATTAAAATCAAATAAATTTGAGCGCGATTTAAACCCGGATGATTGTAACCACTCTAAATTTGTCTGCCTTGGGAAAGCTAGCATGTCTCCGACATAGTGATAACACTCGTAGCCTTCTCTAGTGCAGTTCAACCAGGTCTCGTCCCATTCCTCGATATTTGTGATATGACAAATCCCGGAAAATATGCGTTGTAGTCCAAACGAGTCGTTCGTTGTAGTTTTTGAAAAGTGATTTCTGTTAAATAAAATATCTCCTTTTGAAGTGGACTTTGAGCTTTGTAACTTTGCAGATCTTTTTTTATGCTCAAACAGCAACATTACAGACTAACTAAAGTTGAAAAAGTGAAAAAGCGTAATAGGACCACTTTAATGTAGTACTGTGTAGTGAAATGGCATGTAAGGTCAATCTGTCTTGGTTTTTCAATTTTGTGATAAAATATTATTTGTTTTAATAAGTAAACACTACATGTGAGATGCTCACAGGCTGCCTAAATGACATCACTGCATAATTTAAATGCAGCTGTCTTTCTCTTTTTCTCCTTAGCCACTTTTTAGTTGGCTAAATTGGCTTCACCACCATTCGACTTGCCAAATGTCATACTCTTTCTGTGATTCAACCACTTAATAAAGCTGTAGATCCTTTATTTTGCTTTGTTTTACTTAGCAGCATTTGTATTCATGATTTTTGTTTGAAATCAGAATTTGTATTTTACAAATATTGTTGGCTTCTTGACACATTGCTTTGGATGAAAGCATCTGCTAAATGCATAATTGTAAATCAATCAAATATTTGTGCCCAGAAAAAATGAAAATGACTCCATTTTGGAAAAAGTTGAGCCATGTAGTGGCCTTGTGGCAGGCTTTTTAGCAAAGAGAAGATCTCTTGCTGGCAGTGTCGGAGATCCTGCTGATTTTTTTCTGCCATGTCAGTGATTCGGCTCTCCATGAAAGGAGCCCCATGGGACATTTGGCCCTTTTGTGCATTTATGGTGACTGATGCTAATTAGACAAGTGAATAAACATTACATCACTTCTGACCTGTGTATGTCAGACCTGAATTAGATTTTTAAAAACTGATAATGCAATCATGAATGTTCTTTTGCTGTCAAACGTTTGGGACCATGTTGGATGGAAAGTCCAGATCATTCAGAGATCATATGAACCCACCACATCCTCAGTATCTTGGCCCAACAGCTCGTGTTTTGTTTTCTCAACCCTGTCACAGCCCAGCAGTTGGTTCTTGAGAGGCTGAGCAGATGATGTGTGAGGATCTCTGGCTCGAGATAGCTCACATGGAGATGCCAGGGCTCTGGGATCATTGCTTTTGTGGAGGGGAAGGTGTCTGACCCTGTTGGCTTTTGGCAGACCCTGCGGCCTCAGTGTCAACTCACTTGAGTGCAGCTGCGCCGACACAGTATCCAGATGTCTGAGAGAGAGAGAAAGTGGGAGAGAGGGAGGGAGCGTTCCTGCTGCCAAAGAGAGGAAGTCAGACATGGATCAGTGAGGATGTCAAAGGCATTAATTCATGTGTTTGGTGCTTTTCTATTATGTGTCATCAGTCTGTCACTGTGGTTATTTTTAACCACAGACACTTTATTCCTTGCTTCCACTGTTTTACTGCTCCTTATGGCAAATCAGAGGAAGTGATCCATATCTGGCTAAGTGCTTCCAGGTCTTACAGCACTGCTGTGCTGCCTGTCTGTCTGGTTCACTGCATTTTGTAAGACCAGAGGGAGAAACACAATTAATTAACAGAGATTTACAGGAAATTTCATTGGCAGTGGCAGTTATGTCATTTCAAACTCAGTTAGACAAGAAATCTTTGTGATGTGTTCATGTATCAGGTTTGAGGTTGTGGTATGACCACTCTGAAATATGAGGAGAGGACAGACAGATGGAGGGAAGAACCTCTACTCATGTAATGCAGTACATTATTACAATGAAAACTTCCTGTATTTTTTAGATTATATTATGAATAATGAATTAAGCTTGATACTATGACCTAATTTTGACATACACTACCATTCAAAATGTTGGAGTTGGTAAGATTTTTTTAAAAATAAGTTCTTGAAAGTTTTTATGCTCACCCAGGCTGCATTTATTTGATCACAAATACAGTAAAAATACTAGGATTGTGAAGTATTACTACAATTTGATAACTATTTTAATATATTTTAAAATGTAATTTATTCCTATTATAAGGGGGGGGGGGGGGAATAGAAATGTTTACAATGTTGTAACATTTACCATAATCAGTTTAATGAATTCTTGCTGAGTAAAAGTAATTTCTTTCAAAAAAAAAAATGAAAAATACCAATCATACTGACCCTAAGCTTTTGAATGGTATTGTATAGCTGTCAGGTGTAGAGTGAGGAGACTTAGTCCTACCTCCCAGCTCGCAGCAAGCCTCTTAGGAGATCCATTGAGTGTAGGGCGGCAGGCACTCTAGCCTCTAACACTGAGATACGCGCCTTCTAATGCCTTGTGCTACTCTCCAGTTCTTGCTAATACCAGAAACCATCCTAAACTAAGACATGTAAAGTAATGGGGCTCATGCCAGTGGGACTAGTGGTTTTATGGGAAAGGTCGTTGATGCAAGGCATTGATGAAAGAGCAGTGTGGGAGAGCTAATGTGGGATGGTTGAGTACTGCTAACTTACATTTGAATGAAACTGATTTTTATTGTCATGATTTATTAATTAATACAGAAAAAGAACGTTAAATTATCGAAGTTTAAAAAATCCAGTTGTCTAACCTAACATTGAATAAACAGTAATCTAACCTAACACTGTGGTAAGGATGGGTGTTGGGAATGCACTTTTTCAAAGTAGTTGCTAACTGTATGTAATTAGTCCCCTGGTGTGTTAATAAGAGTAATTATATAGGTCTTATAGGTGTTTCCAGAGTCTTATAGATGTTTCCTTGTTTTTGTTTGGACATGGGAATGGAATATTAAGTTTTTTCAAGGAATGCCATAATTGCTGCTTCTGTCTGGGATTTTTAATGAACTATTTTGTTTTATTTTATTTTATTTTATTTTACCATATCTAAAGGCCATATATATATACACACACACACACACACACACACTACCGGTCAAAAGTTTGGGATCAGAATGATTTTTTATGTTTTTTACAGGAGTTTCTTATGCTGCATTTATTTGATCAAAAATACAGGAACAAATTTAATATTGTGAAATATTATTATGATGTAAAATAAAATTTTTCTATTTTAATATACATTAAAATCGAATTTATTCCTATGACGGAAAGCTGAATTTTCAGCATCATTACTCCAGTCTTCAGTGTCACATGATCCTTCAGAAATCATTCTAATATGCTGATTTATTATCAGTGCTGGAAACTGTTAATATTTTTTAGGAACCTGTGATACTTTTTTCAAGATTCTTTGATGAATACAATTATAAAAATAAGAGCATTTATTTTATATAGAAATCTTTTCTAACAATATACACTACAGTTCAAAAGTTTGGGGTCAGTCAGTTTTTATTCTTTCTTTTTCTTGAAAGAAATTAAAACTTTTATTCAGCAAGGATGTGTTAAATTGTTAAGAAGTGATAGCAAAGATTTATATTGATAGAAAATATTTATATTTTGAATAAATGCTGTTCTTTTTAACTTTT